TGAACAGGTTGTCGCGGCAGTGCAACAACCAAAAAAGCTGCCTTTGGAGCACGTGGGAGCCTGGTCTGTTCCTCTCGGCCAGACTCCGCGGCCAGCAGCCGCTGCAGGAATAAATTATGTACCAGATTTCATTTGGTTTGTTTGAAAAGCGGCACTTGGCTGGATGAAATACCCCAGGATGTGTTTCTGTTTGATGAGGGGGCAAGAAATCTAGGAAGAAATAGCTGTTTCTAATACCTAATATCTACTTGCCACCCTCTGAATATCAACATTTCTGCACCATAGGGAGCCCAGGTCTCTTTCAGAGAGACCTGAGTATGATCAGAACCCAATTCAGTGGAGAATGAACCTGAAAAATGGGGTTTTCCCTTAAACATGGCCAAAAGATGGGGGTGAATGCCAAATAGATGCAACGTCAACAAGTATAGACTGGAAACCATGCACTTGAATATATTTTGCTAATAATTCCAGTAAAAAGGGATAGGTGTGTGCAAGGGGAGGACATGGATTATGTTGAAATAAGTATGTGTTTTATTGACGAATTGTGCTCGTCCCTCGCAAAGGCGCTTGGCAAAGGGCCATTTGTCGGAGGATGGAATTTCTTCCCTAATGCTGGTGAAGTAGTATCTTTACACAACATTATTTCCATGGAATTGCATGTGTTTTGCAGAGTGTAAGAAATCTCTATACCATAGCAGCAATATAAAGCTGTTGAAAATCCGTTATATTTACAGCACTGGCAGCCTGAGCTCTTTCCAGTGGAACAAAGTTAATAGGCCAATAGCTGTGACTTGTTAGATTCAAATAGCTCTTCCTTTAAATATCCTTTAAACTACAAATGAATGGGAAACTAGTCATGTTCTTCTGTAGGAAAACACCAAAAACACCGTCTCTCTGCATGTAACTTGAACATGACACCCCTGATATAGATCCCTTCCAACAGGAACTCTTCTACTCTATATGTCTTCAGTACTTTGGAATTAAATGACTGCCTCAACCAATTATTTTTTTTGCATGAACTTTAAGCTGCAGCCGCGCAGATGGGAAATGAGGAAATGAGTCAATAAGCAACAGTTCGGAGAAGTTTTTTCCCCCGTGCCCTAGATCTGTGGGCAGTCCTATAAGCGCAAAATTTATTTCTTTCACTGCCTTCTGTTGAGGCGGCGTGGATTAGGCTGTCTTTAAAAATACTACTATATTGTCATGCAGTCAGATAGGTTCCTGATGCAGTTTTTAGGTGATAGTGCTAAAGTAGCAAACTATCCAGAACAATAGTGGTAATTCACTAATGTGCAGCTTCTCTTTATGAGTCACAATTTCCACGCGACTGTTATATAGTTTGTAAGAGTAATTGCTCTATGTTCATAGTTGGCTCTAAAATCATTAATTTTAGTGCCGTGGTTTCACATTAGTAACATTTAATTATTTTTTAACAGAATAATGGTTTAAGTGAGGTGGTTTTGTACTGGTTTCTTACAGCCCAGATGGCAGTTAATCCATTAAAATTGCATTAATATTTGCTAATGACAAAACAAGGGAATTAGAATATTGCACAGCAGCCTAGTTTTGGGTAATTGCGCATCCGTTAATCACTTGTACCTCACAGGAGTAAAACAATGGAGCCATTAGAGGCAAGAAGGGTTCGGAGCACGGGATGGAATGATAGGAGAAATGGGTTTCTTTAAAAAGGAAATATTTGAAAGATAAAGCTTGTAGTGCACTATATGAAGTGTTGTAGAATTGTAGAATGGTTTGGGTTGGAAGGGACCTTAAAGACCATCCGGTGCCACCCCCTGCCCTGGGCAGGGACACTTCCCACCAGCCCAGGTTGCTCCAAGCCCCCTCCAACCTGGTCTTGAACCCCTCCAGGGATGGGGCAGCCACAGCTTCTCTGGGCAACCTGGGCCAGGCTCTCACCACCCTCACAGCAAAGAAGTTCTTCCTAATATCTCATCTCAGTCTCCCCTCTTTCAGTTTGAAGCCATCACCCCTCATCCTATCACTGCACGCCCTGGTAAAAAGTCCCTCCCCATCTCTCCTGGAACCCCTCCTTCAGATACTAGAAGGCCACTGTAAGGTCCCCCGGGAGCCTTCTCTTCTCCAGGCTGAACCCCCCAACTCTCTCAGCCCCCCCTCCCAGCAGAGGGGCTCCAGCCCTCCCAGCATCTCCAGGGCCTCCTCTGGCCCCACTCCAACAGGTCCACATCCTTCTGATGTTGGTGGCCCCAGAGCTGGACACAGTGCTACAAATATCATAAAAGCTGTTGAGGAAAAATGGGCAGGAAACAAGACATGACTAAAAGGATGCTTGTTAGAAAACATTAGAAACAATGTAAGTATAAAGAGAAGTAGCTTTGTGCAAACTCTGCTGTAAGATTTGTTTTCTGAACTTGGTTGTTCTTAACAGAAAATTTATGGTGTTCTATGTAGAACTGACACTCTCAAATATAAAAAGTGATGTTCAGAATTGACATTTGAAACCAGTAGTAAAAATCAGACAGCAGAGACGACAGATGGTAGAACTACAGCTGAAATGGAAAAAATGCGGAGATATTTGCAGTTACTAGGTCATAGAATAAAACAGGTGGGAAGAAGCCTCAGAGGGTCTGTGGAATCATGGAATCATAGAATTGTTGAGGTTTGAGGGGGCCTTTAAGATCATTGAGTTCAACTATTAACCCAACACTGCCAAAACCACCACTAACCAATGTCTCTCAGCACCACACTTACCTCTCTTTTGAATACCTCCAGGGATGGTGACCACCAATTCCCTGGGCAGCCTATTCTAATGCTTGACAAACCTTTTGGCGAAGAAATTTCACCTAATATCCCAATATTCCTAATATTTTCATCCTAAAGCTCCTTTGGCACAACTTTAGGTCATTTCTCACCTCCTGCTAAAAGCAGGGCCAGCTCTGGACGCAGGGCTGTGTCTGGTCACCTCATGCCAGAACAGAGGTCCCAGAACCTCTCTGAACAACCTCTTTCATGATCCTCATGGTGAAAAGGGTTTCTCCTTGTATCAAGCTTGAATTTTAATTGTATTAATTTCTGCCCCTTGTCATTTCATCTGCCATCATGAACTGTGAAAAGCCGGGCTCCATCTCCTTGATAAACTCCTTGATTATCAAGGACTTTATCAAGAAGGTTCCTCCTGTGGTGTCCACCAAAGCCTTCTCTTCCCCAGGCTGATTGAGCTCTGGCCTCTCAGCCTCTCACACTAACCATTCAGAGGTCTTGGACAGGGTTTGATTGATCATTTTGTCTCTTTCTCATTTACTTTTTACAAAATAACTTTGCAGCGATTTCGTCAGAATTGCATACAACTGAAGATTAGCCTCTAATAAGTGAATGTGTAGCATTGGTTAAAAGGTTTAGACTGAGTTTCATGCTCTCAAAATTGAAGCAATAATAATAATGTATAAGTCATGGGTTGATTTTAATAACTTTTTTCCCCTTTCTGGAGCTTTAACAAACTGCTTTCCAGACCCTGCAACTGTGATTCTGTTGACGTATATAAGGAGCTCACAGGGATCATTAAAGTAAAACAAAACAAACCAATAGAAGTAAAAAAACCCAACCACCCCAACCCCACGAACAAACATACACCTTAAGGATCTGTTGACTTAGAGGAAATTGTGCCCTTTTACTCAAAGTCTCTTTTGCGGATCGCTGACTCAGCAGATTGTGGTGTTGTCCCTGGCTTTGTGCTAAACCGAGGACCATGTCTTATGTTGCATTTCTTCTTCTCAAAGGCAGTAGTTGATTTTTTTTACACTTCATTTACTCACTCGATGAAGGAATTGTCACATGAAACTAAAAAAGCTGTGTTCTCTAGTGTACTAGAGCTTATGCGTGAAATAAAACTACATGTGCTCTTTTGCAGAAAGACCACTAGCCTTCTTTTGGGGTAGAATTTGCCAGCTGGAATTTGGAATTGGGTTGTACCAGAGCACTCGTGCAAAATGTGTAATTTGAGTCTTTTACGTTGCAGATTGGGAGTTTCGGTCTTTGTGGTTGCTTGAGTCACCACACTTAATGCTTAGCAATTTTCCAGCCAGCTGGAGGTAAAGTAGAAAGGAAAATCTACCCTTGGTGTAGCCAGCAAGCACTTCAGATACACTGGGAAGTAACCTGGCACACCCAAGATTTCACAGAGATAATTTCATTGACCAAACCCATGTGCAATTATGAAATTTATTTTTCTAAAGCTGCTACCTGCGCTGCTCAGAAAAAAAAATATATACCTGCTTCTCTGATTGAATGCAGCCTTGCTTTTCAGAAGTGCTTTTGAAGGTCTCTCTCCTTATTTCCTGTAGAAGTTTTAGACCCCTGCCACCTCCTGGGGAAAAAAGCAACCAACCCTTAAAACATGCATTTCTGCAAAGAGCTCACTGCTTGGCATAGGTGAGACTGAGGATGGGCATGTATGAGCTAAAAAAAAAAGCTGTTGGACATCTATAATGGCCAGAAAAAAGTGAGGGGAGCGTAATCACAAAGTAATGAAGTGAAACACGGGTTGAAATGAGGTTCTGGCCCAAGCAAACAGTTGGACCTGTGCAGAGAACTTTATGTAGATGGTACTTTTAACCTAAAAAAATCCTGTATTTGCTTTTCCCCCTCACATTCCTCTCACCTGGTATCAGCTTCGCATCTTGCTTTGTTCCACCTACTCAAGTACCACCGTCAACACCATGGGTTGTGAAGAGCTGGCAGTAGGTTGATGACCCAGAGCGGTGGTTGGGATGGGCTGTTGCCTTACAGTCAGTCTGAAGCGGTGTCATCAGGAGGAGAGTGGGACTGAACTAGCACAAACCCAGAAGCTCTCAGCTCTAAAAACATCCAAGTTATTATTAGCAGTTAATTTCTTTATTGTCTTGGAAGGTGTTTCAAATTTGCACAGGTGGACTCCTAATGAAAACTTCAATGTAAATCTATTGCTAATGCCAAATTAAATTATATTTACATGGATTTCTTCTCTTTTTTCCCTCCCTTTTTAGGTCTGTTATTTTTCTTACGATGGAAAGGCTGGTTGTCTATCTACTGGTTATTAGCACAGCTGTGAAGGCCATGATGTGTCCCAAAAGATGCATGTGTCAAAACCTGTCTCCATCCTTCACAATTCTCTGTACGAAGACGGGGCTCCTTTTTGTGCCCCCCAGTATTGACAGGAGAACAGCAGAACTAAGGTTAATGGATAACTTTATCACTACACTTAGGAGAAAAGATTTTGCAAACATGACTAATCTAATTCATTTGACACTATCAAGGAATACAATAAGTCAAATCATGCCTTATGCATTTTTTGATCTTAAAGGCCTTCACGCCTTACACTTGGATAGTAATAGACTGACTTACATCAATGAAGATCATTTCAAAGGTTTAATTAACCTTCGGCATTTAATACTTAGTAACAATCAGTTAAGCTATATCTCTCCTGGGTCATTGGATGACTTTATTGAAACAATTGAAGACCTGGATCTGTCCTACAACAATCTCGTTAATGTTCCTTGGGAAACAATTGCCAAACTTTCTAATGTCAATACGGTCAGTTTGGATCATAATCTCATTGAGTTTGTGCCAGAGGGGATCTTCTCAAACCTTCACAAACTTGCCCGCTTAGACATGACCTCGAACAAGTTGAAAAAGATCCCTCCTGATCCTTTGTTTTCCAGAATACCTGTCTACGCCAAGTCTAAGGGATCTCCACTGTCCTCCCTGGTGCTTAGCTTTGGTGGGAATCCTTTGCACTGCAACTGCGAACTCGTGTGGCTGAGACGTCTCACCAGAGAAGATGACCTAGAAACCTGCGCCTCTCCACCAGAACTGATGGGCAAATACTTTTGGTCTATTAAAGAGGAGGAATTTGTCTGTGAACCTCCGATGATAACACACCGAACCCCAAAACTAACAGTGACAGAGGGCCAAAGCGCCTCTTTGAAGTGCAAAGCTGTTGGCGATCCAGATCCCTACGTTCGCTGGATCTCGCCCGATGGGAAGCTGGTCTCTAACACCTCTAGGACGATTTCTTACGAGAATGGCACTCTGGATATTTTGGTTACGTCTTTGACTGACAAAGGCACGTTTACTTGCATAGCATCGAATGCTGCGGGAGAATCGACAGCTCTGGTCGAACTCCTCATTACCCCCTACCCTAACCTGGCAAACAGCACCAACTGCGACAAAGATGCAGAGCCTGGCCCCTCGGATATTCTCATATCTGCCAAGTCAAGCTTTCCAAACGAAACCAAGGCTCAGCAGGAGAAGGCGGTCATGGTGGCGGAGCTGACGTCGTCCTCTGCTCTTATCCAGTGGCCTTCTCAGCATCACCTCCCCGGGATTCGAATGTACCAGATTCAGTACAACAGCTCTGCTGACGACATACTAGTGTACAGGTAACCCACGCTTGTACCTCCACGCAGTAGGCAGTAGAAGTAAGAAAAAAAAGAGAGCATAGTTTGACATATCCTGTGTAAGGAGAGCTATCCTGCAAGCAGAAGCTGTAAATGGGGGGATGAGGAGACACAATGGCTGCCTTAGACTTTGCTCGTTAAACTACCATTGTCAAGGAGTTACGCTATTAAAACTAATAATACATCTGCTTCCGTGCTGCCTCTTGAGGATCTCTAAACTCTTTACAGACATAATTAAGTTTCATAGTCCAGTTTAATGGACCAAGTGAAGCTGATGAGCAATATCTTACTTGTTAACATTTAAGAAAATTGAGATGGAGATTTTAGTTACATTTTATGCTGATTAACTGTAATTATTTTGCTTTAAAATATGGAGGAGAGAGAAAAAAATCAATATGCCCAAAGTTGCGAGATGCCCAAAGCAACGTTCTGCCTGTATGGATACAGCCTTGCCATGTTATGCCAAACCTTCACCCCATATTAGTCGCTAATTAGTGCATTCTGCCTTTTCTCCACTTTTGCGGTGTCCTGGGGACAAAACTCACTGGTATGAATTGGAGACTACACAGAAAGTTTTAGGTTCTATATTTTTTGGGGGTTCCTTGGGAATAACTGCCTGAAAACTGTTTAAGTCTCAGTAGACAACATGGAGATTAAGTTTATAGCTGCTCTCCCAGGCAAGGAGAGTTTCTGATTATCTGCCTTTCTGTTACATAGTCCATGATTAACTGGGGTGGAAGGGATAAGGAGGGGCAGAATGACTTTAAAGTGGGAGCCAGCATTTGATTGGGATTTAATATTTCGTAGCTCTGCACTTAGTAAGGAAGATAAGTTCTCTAAACTGAACAATAATGGTTTTTCTAACGTAATTCCACTGGTTGCACTAACGTTTGGAGTGGATGAAGCGAAAGGAGAATGACATCTAATAGCTTAAGAAATACCCCCTAAAGTTTAGGTTCAAATATACTGCTTTGGTAAGCAGTCTCCTAAGGAAAGGAGCACAGATAGTTGTTCTGCTGGGATTCCTATTTCAAAGTCTTGTAAAAAAATGGAACTATGTATGAAAACTGTATGAAGATTTTACAGTCGCTTTGGATTTTCAGAAACCTCACATTAAAATGCCCATCCCCGGAGTCTCTTTGAGGAGGAATCTTAGAATCATAGGACAGTTTGGGCTGGAAGGGACCTTAAAGACCATCCAGTGCCACCCCCTGCCCTGGGCAGGGACACCTCCCACCAGAACTGGTCACTCCAAGCCCCCTCCAACCTGGCCTTGAACCCCTCCAGGGATGGGGCAGCCACAGCTTCTCTGGGCAACCTGGGCCAAGCTCTCACCACCCTCACAGAAAAGAAGTTCTTCCCCACATCTCATCTCAGTCTCCTAACTTTTGGTTTAAAACCCTTCCCCCACCACCAATTCCCTGGGCAGCCTATTCTAATGCTTGACAAACCTTTTGGCGAAGAAATTTCACCTAATATCCCAATATTCCTAATATTTTCATCCTAAAGCTCCTTTGGCACAACTTTAGGTCATTTCTCACCTCCTGCTAAAAGCAGGGCCAGCTCTGGACGCAGGGCTGTGTCTGGTCACCTCATGCCAGAACAGAGGTCCCAGAACCTCTCTGAACAACCTCTTTCATGATCCTCATGGTGAAAAGGGTTTCTCCTTGTATCAAGCTTGAATTTTAATTGTATTAATTTCTGCCCCTTGTCATTTCATCTGCCATCATGAACTGTGAAAAGCCGGGCTCCATCTCCTTGATAAACTCCTTGATTATCAAGGACTTTATCAAGAAGGTTCCTCCTGTGGTGTCCACCAAAGCCTTCTCTTCCCCAGGCTGATTGAGCTCTGGCCTCTCAGCCTCTCACACTAACCATTCAGAGGTCTTGGACAGGGTTTGTCCTGGCCTCTCAGCCTCTCACACTGTCCGTGCTCTAACCATTCAGAGGTCTTGGACAGGGTTTGATTGATCATTTTGTCTCTTTCTCATTTACTTTTTACAAAATAACTTTGCAGCGATTTCGTCAGAATTGCATACAACTGAAGATTAGCCTCTAATAAGTGAACGTGTAGCATCGGTTAAAAGGTTTAGACTGAGTTTCATGCTCTCCAAATTGAAGCAATAATAATGTATAAGTCATGGGTTGATTTTAAAATTGAAGCAATAATAATAATGTATAAGTCATGGGTTGATTTTAATAACTTTTTTCCCCTTTCTGGAGCTTTAACAAACTGCTTTCCAGACCCTGCAACTGTGATTCTGTTGACGTATAAGGAGCTCACAGGGATCATTAAAGTAAAACAAAAAAAAACAATAAAAGTTAAAAAACCCAACCACCCCAAACCCACAAACAAACATACACCTTAAGGATCTGTTGACTTAGAGGAAATTGTGCCCTTTTACTCAAAGTCTCTTTTGCGGATCGCTGACTCAGCAGATTGTGGTGTTGTCCCTGGCTTTGTGCTAAACCGAGGACCATGTCTTATGTTGCATTTCTTCTTCTCAAAGGCAGTAGTTGATTTTTTTTACACTTCATTTACTCACTCGATGAAGGAATTGTCACATGAAACTAAAAAAGCTGTGTTCTCTAGTGTACTAGAGCTTATACGTGAAATAAAACTACATGTGCTCTTTTGCAGAAAGACCACTAACCTTCTTTTGGGGTAGAATTTGCCAGCTGGAATTTGGAATTGGGTTGTACCAGAGCACTCGTGCAAAATGTGTAATTTGAGTCTTTTACGTTGCAGATTGGGAGTTTCGGTCTTTGTGGTTGCTTGAGTCACCACACTTAATGCTTAGCAATTTTCCAGCCAGCTGGAGGTAAAGTAGAAAGGAAAATCTACCCTTGGTGTAGCCAGCAAGCACTTCAGATACACTGGGAAGTAACCTGGCACACCCAAGATTTCACAGAGATAATTTCATTGACCAAACCCATGTGCAATTATGAAATTTATTTTTCTAAAGCTGCTACCTGCGCTGCTCAGAAAAAAAAATATATACCTGCTTCTCTGATTGAATGCAGCCTTGCTTTTCAGAAGTGCTTTTGAAGGTCTCTCTCCTTATTTGCTGTAGAAGTTTTAGACCCCTGCCACCTCCTGGGAAAAAAAGCAACCAACCCTTAAAACATGCATTTCTGCAAAGAGCTCACTGCTTGGTATTGGTGAGACTGAGGATGGGCATGTATGAGCTAAAAAAAAGCTGTTGGACATCTATAATGGCCAGAAAAAAGTGAGGGGAGCGTAATCACAAAGTAATGAAGTGAAACACGGGTTGAAATGAGGTTCTGGCCCAAGCAAACAGTTGGACCTGTGCAGAGAACTTTATGTAGATGGTACTTTTAACCTAAAAAAATCCTGTATTTGCTTTTCCCCCTCACATTCCTCTCACCTGGTATCAGCTTCGCATCTTGCTTTGTTCCACCTACTCAAGTACCACCGTCAACACCATGGGTTGTGAAGAGCTGGCAGTAGGTAGATGACCCAGAGCGGTGGTTGGGATGGGCTGTTGCCTTACAGTCAGTCTGAAGCGGTGTCATCAGGAGGAGAGTGGGACTGAACTAGCACAAACCCAGAAGCTCTCAGCTCTAAAAACATCCAAGTTATTATTAGCAGTTAATTTCTTTATTGTCTTGGAAGGTGTTTCAAATTTGCACAGGTGGACTCCTAATGAAAACTTCAATGTAAATCTATTGCTAATGCCAAATTAAATTATATTTACATGGATTTCTTCTCTTTTTTCCCTCCCTTTTTAGGTCTGTTATTTTTCTTACGATGGAAAGGCTGGTTGTCTATCTACTGGTTATTAGCACAGCTGTGAAGGCCATGATGTGTCCCAAAAGATGCATGTGTCAAAACCTGTCTCCATCCTTCACAATTCTCTGTACGAAGACGGGGCTCCTTTTTGTGCCCCCCAGTATTGACAGGAGAACAGCAGAACTAAGGTTAATGGATAACTTTATCACTACACTTAGGAGAAAAGATTTTGCAAACATGACTAATCTAATTCATTTGACACTATCAAGGAATACAATAAGTCAAATCATGCCTTATGCATTTTTTGATCTTAAAGGCCTTCACGCCTTACACTTGGATAGTAATAGACTGACTTACATCAATGAAGATCATTTCAAAGGTTTAATTAACCTTCGGCATTTAATACTTAGTAACAATCAGTTAAGCTATATCTCTCCTGGGTCATTGGATGACTTTATTGAAACAATTGAAGACCTGGATCTGTCCTACAACAATCTCGTTAATGTTCCTTGGGAAACAATTGCCAAACTTTCTAATGTCAATACGGTCAGTTTGGATCATAATCTCATTGAGTTTGTGCCAGAGGGGATCTTCTCAAACCTTCACAAACTTGCCCGCTTAGACATGACCTCGAACAAGTTGAAAAAGATCCCTCCTGATCCTTTGTTTTCCAGAATACCTGTCTACGCCAAGTCTAAGGGATCTCCACTGTCCTCCCTGGTGCTTAGCTTTGGTGGGAATCCTTTGCACTGCAACTGCGAACTCGTGTGGCTGAGACGTCTCACCAGAGAAGATGACCTAGAAACCTGCGCCTCTCCACCAGAACTGATGGGCAAATACTTTTGGTCTATTAAAGAGGAGGAATTTGTCTGTGAACCTCCGATGATAACACACCGAACCCCAAAACTAACAGTGACAGAGGGCCAAAGCGCCTCTTTGAAGTGCAAAGCTGTTGGCGATCCAGATCCCTACGTTCGCTGGATCTCGCCCGATGGGAAGCTGGTCTCTAACACCTCTAGGACGATTTCTTACGAGAATGGCACTCTGGATATTTTGGTTACGTCTTTGACTGACAAAGGCACGTTTACTTGCATAGCATCGAATGCTGCGGGAGAATCGACAGCTCTGGTCGAACTCCTCATTACCCCCTACCCTAACCTGGCAAACAGCACCAACTGCGACAAAGATGCAGAGCCTGGCCCCTCGGATATTCTCATATCTGCCAAGT